GCGTTGGATGATTGACCGTACTGCGAAGTCTGGCCAGGCCTGGAGCCTTTAGGTTCAACGGTCCTTTAGGCTATTTCTACGGAGCGCCCTGTACAAGTACCGTGATCCCCTACCGAGTACCGCGTACCTTGTAACATGATACGAGGTACAGTTCATCGACCATGGTAACTCCCCCCATACTCCTCTGCTGCTCCGACAATTAAAGAATACGAGAAACAAGCAAAGGAAAAAAGACCAGGGGGGTGGTGAGTGTGGCTCGGGGTGGCAGCCTCGGGGCAACATCCCCTTTGAGGCATGTCTCTTCTTTCTCTCTCTGTCAATAACAGCCCGAATTTCTTCCATGTTCCTGGCATCCACTGGTGTGGGTTCGGCTTGTCTCTTTGTTTCTTGTCTCCATTGACCGGGGTCTGTGGATCACGCTACCCGACAAGACGGTGCCCTCTCTCCCCCCGTGAAAAGTCACCGTACTGGGTACATACTGCAGGTCTCGATTTCTCTGGGGAAAGGATCGTCAAGATCAATGTCAACGTCACCTTCGGTCATATTCCCACATCAGATTTTGCGAGCCTACATATGTACTCGGGACATACTACCGCAAACCCCCTTCGCCTTCCGGGGGGACGGCGACAACCGACAGGCACTCCATTCAATACTTACTCCGTACCGAGCACAGGAGGTACAGTACAATCCACTCGCCCGTTCCTCGTTCAGCCATCCCTTTTTCAGACACCGGTGAATAGAAGCCAGGGGGGTAGGCCGCCTGCCTATACCGAAATCGAGCTCTTTATCCTGTTGTCCTACGATGCGACTCGTCCGCTCCAATACAGCACCATACGCCAGCCGCATCCCGGTTTTCTTCGTCTTCGCCTTGGGAGGTTATTAGACGGACCCTAATGTCCACTTCGCCTGCGGTCGCCTCTCCCAAGTATCTCTGGGGAAGCGCCAGTCGCAATCTGGTCTTTGCACAGGTCTAGAAGCTGTCACGTCGATAGCCGGACCGGATTCCGGCTGTTAGGCAGATTCTCGGTGATGATTCTGGCCATGGCTCTCGACATTGGACAACCCAGCGTTTCAAGAACCAGTCCCCAGTTGGATTAGTCAGCCCCTGTTAAACTGCCTCCTTCCAGGCGTCATCTGCGACGTTCGGAATGATTCCTTCATCGCCATCCACAGTCCCCTGGAGAGGTTTATGACACGCGTGGACGCCACATCAATCACTGGAAAATCCACCCAGCCAGCCATCCAGACGGCCAAGCTGGTAACCAAACTCAGTCTTCTGCTGACTGTTGCTATTAAGACATGCTCACTCATTCAATTTGGCAAGCCATCCCATAGTCGAAAAGCCGAAACGCAGTGCCGCACTTTCTCAGTAGGACGGTTCAACGCAATACGAGTAGATCGGTACCTACAAGGAGATACCTCGTATCATATCCTGGTATCAATCACGCGACTCAACACGGTGTTGGATGCTTGGGTGCATGGTTAGGTATTTTTGTCCCTGCAGTAGCTTCCTTTCCACCGACCGTTCAGGAATTCTCCTCAGTCTGGGGAAAAGGGTGACCCCGCCGAGCGCTGTGTTCAGGAACAATCGTCTCGAACTCTCTCGACTCCGTCGATTCTCTCGCCCTTTCCAGACCTGCCGAGCCCACGTCTTCTCGAAGCGATCTTCGAACACGAGGAAACAAGCCATTTCTGATGCAGTCATTGATTGCGGTGCGGACCGAGTGAAGGAGGCCCGTTCACCTCATCTGGCGGCGTCGAAACGAAGGTTTCTGCTTCATCTCCCACGTTCGTGCTCGGCTTTCCTCGGAGTCTCGGTCTGTTAGCATGTGGCTAGAGTCTGGCCCCTCGCACAGATGGGACTTGTGCTGGATAACCCACTACTTCCGGGGGATATCAACACGGCGAAGATCAGAAACTGCAACTGGGTCAAGAGCCGCGTCTTAAATATTCCTACTCGACGGCCACAACGACGCGTCCCGAAGGATTCCAAAGGTGAGATCAGAAGTGAACAAGGGTTTCCGCCGTGCGTCCGGTCTCGGGTTCCCTGCTCATAAATTCACTCCTAGTGCTCCCTCATCGCCACACTGCCACTAGAAAAAAAAAACGCCCAGATCCCCGGCTCGTGCCATTACGCCTTGTCTGCAACGTTGATCAATTACCTTTGACGATCGAAGGACTGGCACGATGCAGGCACCATGGTAGCTTCTCTTTCTGCTCCACGGGTGGAGTTCTTTCGAGGTCCACCGTTGTCCATCCGGAAGGTGCATCCCCGATGTGTTCTAGCCGTTTCAAACGTCGACCGCTATCCTCTGCCCCAGATTGACCCCGGTAGAGTCCTTCTCCTCCCTCCCATGTCGACGAATCGAACGGCCTGTCCTGGGGGACGTGGTCTTTTGTTCTTTGAAATTTTGTGACCCCGGTGCCAGTGGAGACAAGGGAAGTTGCAAGCCCCAAGCGCCCCTACCTAGTCACTCTCGTGGCAAACAGGAATACAAGTGGCAGAAGTGGTCACTTCAGCACAGACGTTACTTTTGAACGTTGGCATATCAAGCCTGGCAAAGACAAAAGCAGAGCTCCTCCCCCGCAAACTCCAAGAATTCCTGACCCCCGTCGCCCCTGGGTCTTGTTAGGCATGCTCATGTGGTTGCAGTCATCACACCGCTGTCAAGATGACGATCACATCCTCACAAGACCATGCCTTGGTAACGGCTGAGAGAGTGACCTCTGTCTTTTCTGTTCTCGGCGCCGCATTTATCATTGCAACTTTCCTTTCAGACAGCAAGTTTCGGAAACCTATCAATAGGCTTGTCTTTTACGCTGCGTGGGGGAACCTGTTTGCCAACGTGGCAACTCTCATTGCAAGATCCGGTATCAAGTTGGGAGTCACATCCTCGTTGTGTCAATTCCAGGCCCTTTTGATTCACTGGTGAGAAGGTCACCACATCAATCTACTGCTCTTGCTCAGTGCCCTATTAGGTTCTTGCCTGCTGATGCGCTATGGACCTTCGCAATGGCGTGCAATGTCTACCTCTCCTTCTTTCGACAGTACGACGCATCGCAACTGCGAGGTCTCGAGTGGATATACTTGGCGGCGTGCTATGGCATCCCTTTTATCCCAGCGTTTGTGTTACTGTTCGTCAGTACTGCTGATAGGGGCAGAGTGTATGGTGACGCGGTTGTATGTGCGCCCTTACCCCGGCTGCTGGCGCATCTGCTGACTTTTTTTTGGGCAGCTCTGGTGCTGGGTGTCAACAGAATGGAATGCGCTCCGAGTTGCTACTTTCTATGGCCCGGTGTGGCTGATCATCCTTCTGACAATGTTCATATACGTCAAAGTCGGCGTCGTGGTCTTTCGATGGCGCAAGCAACTCCTCTCCCTAAACGAGAGTGGCAGCAGGCCCGACGCCCCACGCAATGGGTATGCGATGAATCAACTTCCGACTTCTCCTGTATCTCAGAATCAGAAGACCTATGAAATCACCATCAGCAGTCAAGTTCCCCACTCACCAACCGCGAAGCAACAGCGACGCCTTAGCTCGCCGAGGAATACCTATCAGGAGACCACCTCGCCTGCCGACGTAAATCATGCACGCTTTCCTTCCATTCAAGAAACGGCATTTCCCCAGCCGAACACCAACGTGGTCACCAACGTGGTTGTGGAGAGGCCACCGATTCAGACCTTGGATGCCAATAAGGCAGCCCTGAGTTACTGCAAAACGGCCTCAATGTTCTTTCTCGCGCTCCTGTGCACATGGTATGTACTGTTGTTCCTCGCTCCTCAATCACATGGACTAACAACGTCCTCTAGGGTTCCCTCCACCATAAATCGAGTGTATACCCTGGTGCGGCCATACGACTCTGTCTTCGGATTGGACTTTGCCTCCGGAATTGTACTCCCTCTGCAGGGATTTTGGAACACCATAATCTACATCGTGACCAGCTTGCCGGCCTGCAAAACCCTCTGGGAGGAGACCAGAGCAAATCTCCTCGGACCTCGAGCTGGTCGCCCAGACAGAACATCACCAGCACTCGCAATATCGAGACACAGCCACCAGGTTCTTGCCTCCCGCGACACGAGAGCAGATATCACAATGAGGATGGATGGGAAGAATCGCGTTGTCAACTACAGACATCAGGACGATGTTGATACAGAGGAGGAGGAGTTGAGGGCTTCCAGTCCAACGTTTATTATGCATGGCAGATGAGACACGAGAGGAGATCACAGGTGATTAACGCTTTGTACATTAGTTGGCGGACAGACGTCCAGGAGAACTTGACAGATCTGGAGTCTCGGTGATAATGACTACACCCTGGCAGAGCCACGGTGGGCGGTACTTTTGCACGAGCCTTTTAAGGGCCCTCAACCATTTTGGGAGGGCTGCTGCAGATACAGAACTAGCAGGGCCATGCGGATGGAACATGTGTGAGTAAGTAGGAAGGATGTACTCCATAACCTTGAAGCGATATGAATGTTTCTCCGATTGGCTCATGCATATGCACGGGAATTTTGTAAGCCTGTCGCTCCGCCACCACTCGAAAGCACCAGGCACAGCCTTACACAGCCTCACACTACGCAATGACTGCAGCCCGATGCCTGCTCCAGCCGTTGGTGGCACAGCTTGCTTTTTACACTCAAGTACATGCCCCGATTGATCTGAGCTTTTAGCCATATCACGGAACGAGACTCGACGCCTAGCCAGAGCAAGTCACTCAGAGTCTGGACTCGACTCTAGCACCACCAGGGCCACCATCATAAGGACCGCTCGGCTGAATCTTAGTCTTTCTTCTTCGAGTTGAGTTCTTGCTCCTGCATCAGGTCTTTGCTTCCTTCGCGGGCCGCGGTGTGAACGGCGAAAACCCGGGACTGTTGATCTATCTCTGACATTCACGACCGTAGGATCGAGTGCTAGTCGATCTCATTGGTGTCAGTGTCTCGAGCTTCGTACTTCCTGATCGCAGCATTGCACAGGCAGAGAGAGAGATCGCAGATTGCAGCCATGGCAGATCCAGAGTGCTCGGCCGACGCTTTCCCCACTCCTCGCTCTGCGAGCTTCAGCAGAGATGGGCCGCCGATGAACAAGAACATGACCATGACCATGATGGTGTCGATGCCTCGTCACACGCCTCCGCCCGTGCATAATCCCAGGGCATCTGTCCCGCGGACGCCGCAGGAGTGGAATGCCCTCCGTGGCGTGATAACGCGTTTATACCGCGATCTGGAGTTGCCTCTCAAGGACGTCCAGCGCATCATGGAGATGGAGTATAATTTCAAGGCTACGTGAGTTAATCCCCCCCTCCCCGGCTCCAAAGCTTTGGCATGTCATATATATATATATATTTACATGCACCTATGTTTCGTCCGTCCTAGATGAACTCTCCAGAGCTGACAATTGACTCAGAAAGCGCATGTATAACACCCGACTCAACCAGTGGAATATCCGCAAGAACTATCGTGCCGAGGAGAAGGAACTTCTGGCGGCTCGCATCACTCAAGCCCACCTCCAAAACCGTCCCGTCTCGGAGCTCACTTTCAAAGGCCGTCCGATCAAACTGCACCGCGTGCTGCGACATATCAGAGACCCGAAGCGCGGTAAAGCTTTTCGGCAGAAGCGCGGGTTACCTTTGCCGACTCACACCGACGACGACGGTGGGAGTTCATCCGATTCCTCTGCGTCAGATCTCGTCCGAGACGACATGCTCCGCGCCGTTTCGAGCGGCGGGTCGAGAGGATCATCCTCCACGCCGCTAGGTTCGGGCAATACGACGTCCAGCTTGCTCACGCCTTCGTCGTCAGAGTCAGACGATGATGGAGAGCCCTTTGAGATCATTCAGCGTGACGAGTTGCATGCCGAAACCCCGGCTCCGAGTCCACCAATATTCCCACCAAAGGACAGGGTCAACCTGGAACTCATTCTGCATGAGACACGGTCATATTACCTTGACGTTATGGGCAACGACCCCGTCAGTGAGACAATCGGCAACCACATCCATGTCGTGGACACGGCCACCACGGTCTTTTGGTCAAACGTCAAGTCCGGCATTTACTTTCTCAAGAAGCAAGCTCCAACACTGGCGTGGCCGTTGTTGAACGAAGCTTGTGTGTTGGCGGGGGACATATTCTCGCAAACGCCGGTTTTGTTTCTGAACAGCGTCTTCACTGTGCTCTCACCGATCAACACGAGAGTCTATCCGCAGGTGCGGAGCACGCTGCTGAGGTATCTGGCAAGCATGGCGGCGATCAAGCTGAAATCCAGGCACCATCCGTTAGCTGTCGTGTGTCGAGAGATTGCACGGGACAACGAGCGAGGCGAGGCCTCCGAGGCGGCATTGAACCTCACCCTGGCATTGTTCACGCAGAACCTGGGCCGCGATCACAGCACCACCTTCGCCGCGCATCGCTCGCTGATTAGCCTCCTGCGACGCGGTAAGCGGCTCAACGCAGCCAAGCAGGAGGGTGAGAACCTGGTTCAGGTGACGGAACAAGCGCTGCTCTCGCGCTCGGACGTGAACATCTACCAGCGCCGCCCGGCGGCCGTCGTCATGGTGGACCTGTGTGCCGCCCTCACGGAGCTGGTGCACGTCCACATGGACATGGGCCAGCACGATGTGGCGCGGAGGCTGTGTTCGTCCGTGATCCGGAACTACCAGACCATCCAGGGCGTCAATTTCCCCGACACCAAGGCCGCCTATGCCATGGAGGACATGGCCGAGCTGAGCTGTGCCATCGGCGACAAAGCAGACGCGGCGTACTGGCTGGCGCAGGCGCTGGACGCGTCGTCCATGCTCCGGGGCGACGCTGATGCCGCGACGCAGCACATCAGAGACAAACTTGGGCAGCTGGATGGAGAGGCAGACCAGGCAGGCCTGGGTGGTTTCCAGGGTGTACATGCCTAGTTATAGTTCGTCTAGCGCGGCTCGTTTGAGGACGTCGGTTGCCTTTTTTATGCATACATACGAGGTACATGGCGGTCTGAATTGCCGATTCACTCCGTCCAGCCTTGTCCGCCTTCTCAGCCTTGTAACATGCATTCGTTGGAGAACCTTCAACCGAACCAGAGAGAGGGGTGAGATGACGGGCAAACTCCGCGCAAAAAAAGAAAAAAGAAAGGGGGGAAAGGGGAACTCCATCTTCGAGAGGGCGCTGGGCGGGCGTCTTTCTCCAACTCTGGCCCAAACCCACCACCGCCGCCTCTCCCCCCGGCTCGCTGGAAGGACATCGAGAAGGAGTTTTATTACATAGGTAGGTAGCCAGCAGTGGAAATCTAAAGGACTTTCATCATTGTACGTGAGACGGCGTGGCTGAATAATCAATCGCTTTCCCCCTTCTCTCCTTACGCTTCGAAATCTGGCTCCTCCCTGACTTCGTCCGAGGCTGTTCTTGTCAAAGGGTCCGGTTTCTGATTTCTTTGGTCAGCAAAACGCCCCAAAAAGGGCAGGCAAGTCAAGAAAAGAAAGGAAATCGGGCGCAATGACTGCACCGTCTTTCACACCGTCGACGGCATTCCTCGAGCTGGTCGCGACGTCGTCACTCAACTACCGCGAGTGCGCGCTGCTGGGGCTCATGGCGCTGATCTCGCACGAACCCACCTCTAACAATAACAACGTGTTGCTGGACGAGTACATCGCGACGGCGCTGCACTACGGCGCGACCGAGTCCGAGATCCAGAATGTCGTCTTCCAGTCCAGCTTCAGCGTCGGGGCGGCCAGGGCCGTGGCCGTGCGGGCCCGCGTCGAAGCCGCCCTCAAGTCGTCGCTCCGTGGCCGGGTGCACCATCTGGAGAAGGAGCTGATGGTGGGAAAAGCACCCGGAGTGCACAAGACGGTGGTGCGCGACTCGGATCCCTCCAACACGAGTGTCGTGCCCATCGTGCTCATCCATGCTTTGGGCTTGGATCGCAGGATGTGGGACGCTGTCTTCGCCAACCTGGCTGCGAGCAGGAGCGGTACGGATCAGAACAGTCAGTTGCGTGTCATCTCCTACGACCTGCGAGGTCACGGGTACGCAGCCCACGCGCCGTCGGCGCAGTCGCTCACGCAGCTTGCGGCCGACTTGAACAGTCTACTCGAGGCTCTGCATATCCCCCAGGCGGATATCTACGGGCAATCCTACGGCGGGGCCGTGGCGCAGTACTTCGCGCTCGAATACCCCCAAGCCACGCGGTCAGTCGGCCTCATCACCACGGCAGGCGAAGCCCAGCCGTCGTGGATAACTCGGGCGACTAGGGCCGAGGAATCCGGTTCGGTGATGCCGCTCCTCCCCGAAACGCTGCTGCGGTGGTTCACGCCCGAAGCCATCGCGCGGAACGAATGGGGTGTGCGCTACGCACGGTCGTGCGTCGAGAGAATCTCGGTCCAGGACTGGGGGGACGCATGGCGGTGCATGAGCGGGCTGGACACCCTGGGTAGATTACAGGCCGGCGGCGTCAAGTGTCCTGTGCTGCTGGTCTGCGGGGTGCAGGACAAGAGCACCGGCCCGACGTGGATGGCGAGGTTGAAGGAAGCGTGTGAGAAGGGCGGTAGTAGACTGGTCGTGTACAAGGAGGTCGATCCCGGAGTGCATATGATGGCGTTAGAGCAGGGCGAGGCCCTGACGAAGGAGATATTGGAGTTCAGGAAGAGGGTGGATGGGGAGGGCGTGTAGCGATGGATAGCCGCTCGTGGCATTGACATTGACACTGACATTGACACTGACATTGACACTAACATTGGCACCGACATGGAACATCCGTTGCGCATCGTGTATCCCAAAGTCGCCTCGTCCCTCCCCCAAAGTGCCAAGCTTTATATAGTGGTGAGTGACATCATGCGCGCACCATATTAGCTGTGGTGGCGTCTTCCAGGGCGCATCATCATTGGCGGAACACGATTTCCGGGTCAAATCGGCGTTGCATTAAGCTTTTCCATACTGTGGCGGCACCAGTAACAACTCGGCAAGCAACATCTGAACACACCCCGTCGACCATCTGCATTAGATACAAAGGCCTTTCTCCTTCACTACTCTGATCCGCTCTGCTCAGCCTTGTGAACTGTCTTTGCCCCCCTTAATCCTCAGCATCACTAATATCCTCACCACTTTATATCGCCATTAGTATCATTGTTTTGATCACTTTGCCGAGCTTCCTCAAAAGCCACCCACCCACCAATGTCCCTCGCCCAACATGTCTCCTCAGTCGAAGGCATTGACCATGAGCCCGAGCCCGGCGACGTGGCCTTCGACGACCGCGCCAGCCTGCTCAGCGGTTTCCACAGACTCTCGCGCCAGCCCAGCATCGCCCTGTCCATCAGCTATGACCCCATCCCGCCGGGCGCTGGGGACAAGGGCACGGGGCAGCCGGAGAAGTTGGAGCCCATTGCGGCGTACGAGGTGTCTCGGGGGATGAGGATAGGTAAGTCTGCTTTCTTCACTAGATGATCTGTCTTGGGAAAGGGGAGCAAAGGAAGAAAAGGAAGGAAAAGAAGATGAGAAAGAGCTGTCTGGCGGGATGCAATCAGAATCGAATAGGGATGGGAAGCTAACGATGGCATCACTCGGGGTCGAATAGCGCAGGTATTGGTCGGCGTCGTCTCTTGTGTCATGGCGTCGGGAATTGTCTTTGGGTTCGACGCTCTCAAAACCATCTTGTTGGCCGAGGGCACGTATCGCGACCTTTGCACCGAAGACGAACTGCGAAAGAATGTACCATTGTGCTATATGCAAGACCAAAGGTAGGCGGGGGTTTTCCCATTCGTGGTCTGTGGCCCAGCTAGATGACCTGACCTGACCTGACCTGACATGAACCTTGTAATCAGGTTGAACCTCACATTCGTCATCGCCTCCGTCACCACAAACATCTCTGCTCTCCTGGTCGGCAGCATCCTTGACCGCTACGGCCCACGCGTCTGCGGCATTATATCCGCCATCCTTCTTGCCCTGGGAAGTGTGTGCGTGGCTTTTGCCTCAGATTTCCCGTTCGACGCCTACATCGTCGCGAGTTTCCTCCTCGCGTTAGGCGGGACTTTCACGTTCGTCCCCAGTTTTCACCTGTCCAATGCATTTCCCCGATTCCAAGGTCTCATCCTGGCGCTGGTCACAGGCGCATTTGACGCCTCGGCCAGCGTCTTTCTGATCTTCCGCATCCTGTACCAAAACACCCACGGCGCCATCACCTTACGACAGATCTTCACCGTCTACCTAGTCATCCCGATCTTCATCCTCGTGTCCCAAATCACGATCATGCCGTCGCACAGCTACCAGACCCGCGGGGAGTTAACCGAGAAAATGGACCAGGCGCAGGACCCCACGACGGACGTGCATGACAGCGACGACGAGCTCGAGGGGGCCATGGAGATCATGCAGGTGCGGGCCGAGAGGGCGAATAGGCGTCGCCAGTCGATCGCCTCGATCAACGACTTGCTCGGCACGCCGGCCCAGCAGAACCAACACGAGAAAAAGGAAGACCAGATCCGGGTCAACAGCGGCGTGTGGGGGATCCTGCACGGTCTGCCCGCGAGCAAGCAGATCCGCACGCCGTGGTTTGTGCTCATCACGCTGTTCACGGTGCTGCAGATGGCGCGGTTCAACTTCTTCATCGCCACCATCTTCACACAGTATTCGTACATGCTCGACTCGGTCGAGGAGGCCACACGGATCATTGAATTCTTCGACCTAGCCCTGCCCATCGGCGGTATCGTCACCGTTCCTTTTATCGGCGCTCTGCTGGACTACACTTCTACAGTTGCCGTTCTGAATCTGTTGGTGTTGCTGAGCACGCTCATCGGCGTGCTGGGCGCCGTGCCGACCGTCTGGGCCGCCTACGCCAACGTCACGCTGTTCGTGCTCTTTCGTCCCCTGTACTACAGCGCCATGTCCGACTACGCGGCCAAGATCTTCGGGTACGCCACCTTCGGCACCGTCTACGGCGCCATCATCTGTCTCTCGGGCCTGTTCACCTTCACCCAGTCGGCGCTGCAGGCCCTGCTGCACGACGTCTTCGAAGACGACCCCGAGCCCATCAATCTCGGCCTCGCCACCGCCGGGCTCGTCCTCGGCGTCACCCTCGTCATGTACGTCGACATCAAGGGCCGCGCGCTACACCGGGAGAGAGCCATCGCCGCGGCCCAGGCTGCTGCTACCACTGCCGCTGGGGCGAACGATGAGAGACGACCGCTCCTGGGCCCGCCGCGGTCTGCGTACGGCAGCGCAAGGAGTGCCAACAGCATGCTCAGCACGAATGGACCGGGGAACATTAGCGTAGGGAGCGGGTTTGGCCCCGCTACCGGTTCTGGTGCCCCTGGCGGAATCCCTGGCGGTGTCGGTGTTGGTACGGGTGCAGGTGGCGCCACCGGCGTCAATGCCGACATGGGCAAGGGTATGGGCATGGGGAGCGCAATGTCAGAGGACGCCGGCGCCCCGGGAGCAGTAGCGGAGAGAAAGCGTCTCCTGCACGGCACCCCGAGCCGGCAGCAGGTGCAGAGGAATCTGTCCACGGTGCAGGAGACGCGCGAGCTGTAATAAATCCTTCCTCCCTTCCCTCCTGGACGCAATCTAGGAGTTTTGGACGTGTGGGGATTTGGAATTGCATTCCATTGCATTGTAAGGACGGTTGCACTCTATCCTGTTCTATCCCATCCTATCTATTCTATCTATTCTATTGCATTGCATTGTATGGCGTGGACATGGGCATAAGAAGTAAGTAATACGGCACTAGATTACATTACATGAACTTTACATTACATTATATGCTATATGGACCTGGTTCGACATGGGCTATTGGTATTAATGTTACAGAGTATATGTAGTTTAGTGTTACATTGTAGATTATTTAGCTGACATTCTTGCGGGCGCTGGCTCATGGAACTTTCAGGATGTGTGTAGAAGGTCATGCTAAACGAACGCGGGCTACGCTTCGCGGATCCAAGAAGGGAGACTAGGAGGCATAGTGTGGCATTGTTGCACTGTTAGCGATACAGCTCTCTAGGGGGTATATGCAGACTCCAAGTAATATCGTCCTGGCCGTCTTCTACCTGCACCCGGACAATTACTGTTGCAACGGCGCAAAGACCTACATATCGGGGCGCCCCGTACCACACACAGTTACTCGCTCAGAATACGCCGTCCTCAACCTCCAAACCAGGCCGGTGACATGACTTGATCCCTCTGTTCGACGAGATGTTCCCCCACCCGTTTGGCCCGTTTTAATCATCCAACAGATTTGCCTCCCCATTCACCTGCCTGTTTCCACCCTCATTGTCCCTGGTGTCCTTGGTGCTCTTCTTCCCATGTGCCTTTCTCGCATAGAACTCATCCAACAACTTGGGATTGATCCGATTGAGCAATTCCTTGGGGAAGATACGAAGCAAGTTCCAGCCAATCTCCAAGCTGTCAAACACAGACCGTTTGTCATACGCACTCTGGGAGATGAACTGTCTTTCAAATTTCTCCAAGAATTCCAGCGAGAGTTTGTCTTCCGCGCTGAGAGCCTCTTCACCGACGACGGCTTTCATGGCGGCGGCGTCACGGCCAATGGCATACTTGGCGTACAGTTGGTTTGACACGTCACCGTGGTCTTTTCTCGTCAAACCTTCCCCAATGGCGGACTTCATGAGCCGGGACAGAGAAGGCAGGACGTTGATGGGTGGGTAGATACCCTTGTTGTGCAATCCACGGTCCACGAAGATCTGCCCTTCGGTAATGTATCCCGTCAAATCGGGGATAGGATGGGTGATATCATCGTTGGGCATGGTCAAGATGGGAATCTGCGTGATGGAACCGTTTCTCCCCTCCACACGACCTGCTCGCTCGTAGATGGTGGACAAATCAGTATACATATAACCAGGGTACCCACGACGGCCAGGGACTTCTTCTCGAGCGGCCGAGACTTCTCGAAGAGCGTCGCAATATGCGGACAGGTCGGTGAGAATGACAAGCACGTGCTTCTCGAGTTGATAGGCGTAGTATTCTGCGGTGGTCAGGGCGAGACGAGGTGTGATGATACGTTCAATGGTGGGGTCGTTGGCCAAGTTCAAGAACAGCGTGACTCGTTCCATTGAGCCATTTTCCTCAAAATCTCGGGTGAAGAAACGTGCGGTTTCCATGTTGACACCCATGGCGGCGAAGACAATACTGAAGTTCTCCTCATGGCCGTCGTGGACGCCCTTGGTCGGTTGCTTGACCAAACCGGCCTGCCGACAAATCTGGGCGGCGATTTCGTTGTGGGGCAGACCAGCGGCGGAGAAAATGGGGATCTTTTGGCCTCGCGCGACCGAATTCATGCAGTCGATGGCGGAGATACCTGTCGAGATCATTTCCTCGGGGTAAACCTTTACCCAGGTCAGCAATCGAGGCAGCAGGCAAAACCCAACAGACCTACTCTGGAGTATGGATTGATGGGACTTCCATTGATATCGAGATAGTCCTCTGCCAGCACTTTGGGGCCTTTGTCGATGGCTCTGCCTGACCCATCAAAGATGCGACCAAGCATGTCCTCTGAGACACCAATCTTCAGACTGTGGCCCGTAAACTCGACTTTGGTCTGCAAATAAATAAGCATCATGTCGTGTAGAATAGCAATAGACTCTTCACCTTCTTCACATCGATGCCGGGAGTGCCTTCAAACACTTGCACAATGGCTCTGTTTCCTGCGGGAACAAAGGTCAACCTGCCGACCTCTTTGCCTAGTCTTTGCACCTTGTAGCCAACACACCTCTTGCTTCGAGAACTTGACCAGATCTTGTCGACCCATCAGGTAGCGTTAGACTGACGATTTCGTTGTATCTTGGGAATTTGACCTGAGAGGGCCGTGTGTTAGCGATAAGTTCCAGAGAGCTTCAAGCCGCAGCTTCGACGTACATTGTCTACAATGACCAGAGGACCATTGACACCGCCAATTGTGTTGTACTTCAACCTGGGCTTGATGGAAGCCATTCGATGATCTAGATCGGCCATTCTGACGGCCTGGCGGGGGTGAGAGACGATGGCAGAAGTGGAGGGTAAATGTGAGAGATAGAAGCAACTCTTTGGCTAAGTAAAGGGAAGAGCTTCCTCAGCACCCAGCCAGGGCCAACGGACGAATTGGAGAGGGACGATGGCGCAGGCGAGCAACAGCTGCAACTAACGAGAGGGCGAGGGATCGGAGGGGATCTGTCTTCTCCAGAACACCAGAAGAACAGCGAGAGTAAAGTTCAGCGATGAGTGGGAGACCACAAAGAACTGGCTGCTCGGCTGGTGCAGGGAACGAGGCGAGGAGACTAGCTGCAGCTGCAGCTGGCAGCCGGCGATGCGGTCACTACGAAGCCACTAATCACCATCCCGCAGCCAAGCATCTGCAGAGATACCGCAGCCACCACCGCCCGACGAGGTATCGAGTAGTCCTTGTCCGCATCTATCATCTACAACCTCCCATTCCCGTCATCGACCAGCAGCCAACTCTCCATGAAATCCATGGCCTGCCTCAATGCAGCCTCAGTCGCCCACTTCCCCACTCTCTAGTTCATGTCAGATCTGACCACGAAGTCCTGGGATACATCCGAGTACAGCGTTTTCTCATATGGGCACAACGTCTCCTTGAGCAGCCTCTCGGTCAAACGTCTGTTCTCTTCTGGAAATAAAATCATCCTTTGCCGCGGCAATCAAAACGGGCCCATTAATACCTTCGGCTTCCTCCTCAGAGACAAGTGAAGGATGCGCTAAGAAGCCGACATCAACTCGGCCGTCTCCTTTGAGGAAACGACAAAGATGTTGTGCGCCCAAAGCAGTACCCAACAGCTCCGATCCTCTGTCTGCCGTGGTCATTGTGGAGGTAGTCGATGCAATATTGGACGATCGGGTTAACCTACTCAGTGGTATGAGGGTTGTTTCCGGTCAGTGCCGTTGTTGACCCAACCCACAAAGGCGAAATCCTCGCGCACAGTCGGTGGCAGACAATCAGTGTTGAACAGATCCGCTAGCAAGGTAAGATATCCATTGTCAGCGAGCTTGTCTGCCATCAATTCGCGTTCTGGGTTACCCAAGATGTCGGCCAGATAAAGAATCGCTGCGTGGGGGTTGGTCTTTCCTAGGATGGCATGGCGACATAAGCGTCGAAACTGCCCACCGGGATCGCTTTATCAGAAGGTGTACCGCTTCAAGAAACATCACCTGAAGGATTGCAAGAGTCAAGTCTGGCCGACTCATTACTGCTTGTGACCGATAGTGCAGCATTTTGAAGGTGAATTCGAGGCCATTTTGGTGCGTATTCCAGTTCAACGTTGTACCTCTTCGCTGTCGACTTAGTTCGCTTTCGGTGCAAGGTAAGTGTCGAGCATTATGCCGCGAGCCCGCCATCTTATAACCTTTTTCGTTGAGTCCTTGGCCACTTCGACAACTTCGGTTTATTTCCACATTCAGCGATGGACCATACGGCGAATGCGTCTTGTCCGAACGTGCGGGGCCTGGTTAGGCAGGGAGAAGAGCTCGTAGAAGGCGAATCCCCAGTGAGTGAGCATGGTCTTGGACGTCTCCCCACTCAATTCACGACCACATTACGGCCTATCCCCTTCGAATGCAGGCTTGCCTAGCAACATCGTCTCTCCATACTTGCATAATCCGGCCCACTGAAGCTTTGATACAACAAATTCAGAGAGCAGTCACGGCAGACTTCCCCAAGGCCGAGACTTTGAAAAGGTGAGTCGCACCTGCATCTGCCAGCATTGAAAACAGGTGCGGAGGACGGAGGGCGAGATACCTGGTTATATGCAGCCTAGCGAATCTCGGGCTACCCAGCTCCATTCCCAGAGGCGCCGTCAACGATGGAGCGGTTGTACCTCCAATAACACCTGGGGAATCTTGATCTTGGCTCTGAGCCAAGCCTCGCACAGCCTCGCACAGCCACATCAGGGACATTCCCACGCCTTCGGCCCCCGGCCCCGACCGTCTACTAATTGTTCGTAAGACTCCAAAGGCGCTCTCTTTTCACTATGCTATTCTCCAGGCATTAGATTCTTTTCCCGCATCATATAGCATCAGCAGGTGATACGGTCTGCATTGAGCACCACGACAGCTCGATTTTGGAACGATATGAGAGTCAAAAATCCCGGGAGCTCTTGTTCCTCTACGAGTTCTCGATCTAGCAATAAGCCTTGCCCGTCCGCTGCGTCATTACCATTCAATTTCGGCCTCGAGACCAGCCTACAGCACTACATTCTCAACAAGAGTGGCTTGCAAAAAGCTGAACCACATATCGTGACGTCTATTCAAGACTGTGATCAGTCACTCTGGGATCGAAATAGCACCTCTGACTTCCATATTTTGACTGTGTCGGGATACGCCACAGGTTTGGGTCCGCCGTTGAGCATTTCCACCAAAGAATTCGATAATCTCTGTGCGTTGTGGCAAATACCATCAAAGTTGCTAAAGAAGTGCCCGACTTTGGCCGCCGACATCCTCGAGTATTGCGTGGAAGAACGCGATGTTAATGATGGCGAAATTGTGTTAACCCCGAATGCTTCGGAGCAGCCGCGTCAGAAATCACTCAACATCCTATTCAGTAACTCAGCAGCGGAGGCGACGTTCTTCTGCCTGCTCATTTGCGACTTGACCGGCCAGTCGGGCGCAAGGTGCCTCATCGGCTCGGTCCAAGACAGAGAGGCAGAGAAAATACTGTCAGACTTGGAAGGCTGCACCAAAGATACCCTCTTGGACCCAGCGATCATTATTGGCTTTATCCTGGCAAATGTTGCTGATCAGCTCGGTGTTCTATTAAACGATAGGCACTCCAGGGATGCCCTTGATATCGCCTCCCGTCTTGGCATCATGAATCCAGGGATGCGCAACTATATCGCTTATTTCGGTTTTGACGGAGAGCCGGACCAGGAATATTCGAAACTTAACGTAGACCTTTACAGCCTGCAATATGCCTTCAGTCAGAATTACCACTTTAACTACGCCAACATGGTGCTTGTTCGCGGTCTAAAGGCCATCTTCGAGTCATATACCGATGAGGTCCGCTCGCCGGCTGTATTCGAGTGTGTCCACGACATCCTCCGCAGACTTGAATGCCAGAAGGGGACGGTGGAATTCTGGGTCCGGGTCACACAGAACCAAAGCCCGGTCTTGTTCAATCTGATCAACCAACGGGACAGCCGCTTGAATTATTCTGTTGCACAGTCGGCACGACAGATCGCTGCGGCTAGCAAGCGGGACAGCTCCGCCATGAAAACCATCTCGATTTTGACCCTAATCTTTCTTCCGGGAACGTTTGTCTCGGCCATCTTCTCCACTACAATCTTTGACTTTACTGGACCGGACGTCGGGTACGGAAAAGTGGGCAAAGCATGGTGGATTTACCTCCTATGCTGTCTGCTACTAACATTGATCACCGTTGGTGTGTGGGCTGGCTGGATGGTGTGGCGACTCAACAAAGCCACCGACGAGGAGAAGAGATGGAGCAGCTGCAGAAAAGACTACTATGAAGCACAGCTTTACAGTCAAAAAGCGCCAAACAGACCGAACCACGAGCACCGAGACGGCCCGGCTTTTTCCTACTCGAAATCTGCAGGAGGCTCCAACTGGAGCAGCGCTGCAACGGGAAACCGCAGAGCCAGTTGTACCAGTGTCCCAAAGGCGGATGGTTTTAACCTCCCACCGCCGTCGACATTCCCTCCCAGGTTGACACCCTTAGTTCCGACGTTCTAGAACCAGCACCGATAATATCTGGGCGATTCCGTGTCCTCGATCTTGTGATGAACATTTGTTATCATGTTAAGCCTAAGAGCAGCAAGTTGTTACCTTCCCGCTTCGCTGGAAAATAGACTTGAAAGGGGCCTCCGGCACGAGGCGTATAGGATATAATAACATTGTAAGGATAGCCGATCGAAAGGTTGTCGCGAACAGAAAGATCCATTCCAAAGTCAACGGATTTGATCGGATAGTCAAGTGATCATGCGATCATTTCAAGTCCTGAACCGCAGTGGCATCAAGGAGGTAGCCCTTGATATCTATCTAGCTCGCAAGCCGTCCCATGCCACCGCGTGCAAGAGCCTAGACCTTGACGACGACGCCCTCTTGCCAGATCTTCTGTGCGATTTCGCGCTTTCCCCTTCGGGAGCCGCGCTTCCTTGTTCCCATCGCAGCTGCGTCGTACAGCTGGTGCCCCTGCTCTCTATCTCTTCCGCCATCTGAGAACTTTTCCTCTCTTGGCCCTCGTCTTCTGCGTCCTCTGCCCAGAACCGCACGCCCAAACACCTCTTCCCCGACGGATAGACTCTCGTCGCGATCGCGCACCGCGAGTTGACAAAGACCTCGAGCACGGACTCGTCGAAGAAGACGTGCAGTTCCAAGTCCTCAATCTTTGGCTCTGTCTCTGTCTCTTTCTCTGGCTCGAGGTGACCGTCACCGTCCTCGCCAACAGGGAGGAATGTGAATAAAGTAAACGGTGCAGTCTCGGGGGTCGTGTTTATCCCATCGTCGTGGATGATGTCGGTGAGATCTCTGACAGATCGATCGATTCGAATAGTTTCGCTCTCGGGTATGAACAAGATCGTCGTCCTCGTGGCCGGCTCGGAGCTTGGTAGAGGGGATATTTCATTCTGTTGCATTCGTTGTGCATGGCCGCCGTCGTGGAATATGCTCAGCCCAATCCTCTTGCATGCATGGGATAGTGAGAATTTGGAGACAAGTTCGAAACGGTTCGTTTGGAGGTCCATGAACATGTCGCCTTCAGACGTGAGGTGCAGTGAGTGACCCGCCAGGCGGATTTCCCTCGCGCTGTTGCGGAGAGATTGAAGGAACGGGGCGGGAGAGATGCCCAATGTGCGGATCCTAAATGTTTGTTGCTCCCTCTTTCCTGACTCTTCTTCCGGCTCGAACTCCATCGATGTGATATCTTGCAACCGACTTCTCAAGACCCCTGTGACACCGCGAACGGTGAGAAGACCAACTTCTCTAGGCAGGGATATCATCCCACTCCACCCCTGTTCATCAACCAGGTGTTGCGGCAAGTCTTCCTCGGTGACCCATGCCCATACAATCTGTTTGTCGCTGAGGGGTTCATGAAAGGTGGTGGCGGCGTAAAGAAGGCCATAGTCGAAGCGGCCTCCAAATTTGTAGTGCATTTTCGGAATTGTTGATCGATGGCCAGTATCTGGGGTGGTCGCGGTTGTAGTTTGAAGGGCTCCGCACATCCACTGCAAGGACCTTTCTGGACGGGGAAATTTCGTGGGACTTTGCGGATATTGTGTGAACGATGACTCTTCACAGTGCGTAGAACCTGCCTTTGAGCCCTCACAGCCCGCGATGACGAAGTGCCTGCTTTCACCGTCGTGCCCGTCTTGGAGGGTCATGAAACACGCGCACTCCCAGTTTATACCCATATCACCACTCCAGCGGGATGTGGAATGGCTCAATCCAACCTCGACCAGGCAACTGAGGAATGTCCATTCTGCCGGGTTCGATGGATTGATTGCGTACAAGAATGCTGTGGGTGAGCGATCCCGAATGCCTCCAGAGATCATACCGTAGAACTGGCTTTTGCCATGGCCAAGTAATTTGGCCATCGCAGGCCAGGTTGCAATGAACGGATCGCGCCAACCCGTCACGTCAAGGGCGGCGGGGGGCTCTAGGAGGATCGGGTTCTTTGTGACCTTTGTCCATGTTTGACCGCCGTCTAATGATTGCGCAGCGGCCAGCGTCTCTGTCTGTCGGATATAAGGCAGAGTGTAGTGCAGCGGCAATCGACTCACTCCCGTATAGAACACGGTCAGTGGTCTAGCTCCAGCTTTGCCATCCGAGTTGGTGGGAATCAAGCAACCTGTGAAACAGCCTTTTGTATCATACCATTCTTCAGCAGTGACTCCTGGTTGGATTGCCGGTGCTTGAGATACATTCCAGTGCACCATATCCTTTGAGATAGCATGCCCCCAACACATTGATCCCCAAACAACTGATCCAGATTCATTTCGACAAGGGTTCCACTGGAAGAACAAATGGTAAAGCCTTGTTGATGCGTCGTAGCCATGGGCACAGGGATCGTTCATCCAGCCGTGATTTGCTTGAAAGTGATATTGGGGGCGCCATCTCAGGAAGGCTGGTGACGGTGAAGTAGGCGGATGTATAGATTCAGAAGTTGATGGATCGGCACTTATCGGCCCTTCGCTTGTTCTGCCTATTGACGCAGTGCAAGCAATGCTACTAGAGGATGGTGACTGTATACCCTGTGCAGCCATTCAAGCCAACTAAGCCCTAAATGTGGCGATGGGGGTCATAAAATAGAGCGAGAGATCTGTTGCACACGACGTTAACTAAAGCGAGCTTTTACAAAGTACCGCTCAAATACATGATGCTGGTTTGAATGATTGACTCAAGGGCAACACCTAGTTTATAGGGCCCTTGGAGTTCTGGCACCAAGCCAGCGATTTCAGGAATGGAGACAAGGCCGCCGACCGATCGAACAATGCTAGCCGACTAAGCTTGGATCATATTGAGTTTGGTATGGCGGGGCTATCCTCCTTCTGTAAGGAGCAGGAATGCATTGGGTGGAGTTGGCGTAGCAATCAAGTCGTTGGCATAAAGCTATGCTTCAACCTCGGGCAGAAAAGGCCCGATTAGAGGCTGCGCTGTTGATTGGCTCGTTATTGCAGAGTGTACTCCCACATCGACAGCCCTGTCTTGTTATCCAGAGACCAATATGTGTCCGTCCTCAAGGGCATTTTCGGCGCTTTCCGGAAGATATGGGCCAGACCTCTGATTAACCCGGGGGGAGGGGGTTTGGACTGGCAATGTCGTGTGTTCGTCTTAGGTTCCTCAACCACCTTTAGATGCCTGGCTCATGTTGCGTCCTAGATGCTCCTCACAGAGTCTTTCCTCGTTGATGCGCAGAGGAGGTAACCCACTCAACCTGAACATTCCATGTTGACGTCGTCACTCTCCGACGGGCTCCGGCCTCGAACTGAACAGCAGCTTATATTTGACAACATCCACGATCTCCAACGCCTCGTCGTCGTCGTCGTCGTCGCCGTCGCCATCACTTCTTGGGTCGCTCTTATCAGCTTTCCGAAGGACTGCCAACGGTTTTGCCAACTTCTTAACTTCTCCAGTCAATCTCTGATGCTTGCCGACATAGAGGTAGACTTTCTTCGTCCACTTGCCCTCGCTGGCTTCTTGGGGGTTGTACAGCGGAAACTCAAGTCGCCCTATATCGTGGATGGCCGTCGACTCGGTCGAATCATCTGTTGCTAGATTCTGGAAGGGCCCATGGATTTTGCCTTGGATCTCCACAATGGCCAGTCCTGATGGTATTTGCAGAATGGATGGTAGTGGGTTGGGATTTGTGCCATTTGTCTCTTGGATGGGAGCAGCTATACGCAGCTCGACTGCTGGCATTGCGTACTGTATTGGTTGAAGATTCTGAGGATTGTGTTGTTGCGGGAGACAAATCGACAGTCAGTGAGACATGGCACGCGTCGTGTCTGTATGACGGATATAATACTTTGTATGCTTCACCGTACTTCGGCGTGTCATCACGTGAGAGGCTATCAACTACCAACGTCCAGGTTCCCTCTGCGTTCGCTCCGTTCTGATCTCCCAGTGTCATCGTGACAAAGATCCCAGTCTCTTCATTCATGCTCGCAAGGGTTGGGTGACGAGACTTCTGTGCTTTGTCCCTTTGTCCTGCCTCTGTAAAAGGGGCAAGGTTAGGGAGCGGATGGTACATGGAGATTGAACACCAAACATCATGCTTGGGACCCAAGCGAACCGCAGACTTCCTCTATAGGAATCCAAAGTAACCACCGATTTGAGTAGCCGGACTCTCCTTCTTTTGCATCTGAAAGTTGTGGTCCCTCATTAGCCTTACATGGCTCCTTTGTCCTTCATCTCATTCCATGTTGTTTGCTAGACGTCACTTATCCGTCACTTCCTGCTCTCCAGACATTCTCTAGTGTGGACCCCGATATAGCCTCATGTGCTCGGAACTCCTGGGAATTCGGAGTCACCACCTGCGAAACCCTCTCAGCACTGGTGTTGTGGTACTGTTCTCGGCCTTCACCTCTGTGCAGGCGTCACTCATGCCTTCCAATACTCGTTTGCTCATGCTGATTCTCCTGCTCGGACCGGGCCATGGCATGATCACTCTAAGTGATAGTCAAAGTGATGCAGATGCAGCCAGCTCAGTAGTTCCTGTCCGAAGACCTGCCGAATTCCATATGAAAGTCTTCTCCCAGGTTCTTCATGGGCGACGGCAAACAGTCGACAATTCAAAGCTGAGACCTGCTTCAATGGTGGTCATTTAGACGATATTGACAGTCATCCTTGTACAGGGTGCCAACGCCTTGTGACTCTGTCCCGCGAACTGGGGCCGCGCGACAAGCAGAGACATTCAACCTCGAGGAATATGACACAATAACAACACGACCTTTCATAAATGATATAAAGAACGACTCCCTCAGACAGGATTCATTCAGCACAACGATGTGTGTCGCCAATATCACCTCTCATACTATTGCCGGCCCAGAGACACCCGCGGTGACGCTGATCTAAGGCAGTGCTGGTACACGGCCATAGCGACATCCATACCAACCATCACAAGACTGCCTCGTTGCGGGGTTGTAATCGGCGGCCTCCAGTTCCACAATCAGTGGGTGAATCTCGTCAGATCCGCATGTTGAATATCGAAGGTACCGAGATCCTGCCTTGGAGTCAGTCTGGAGTCCCGCGCAACCCCCATCATCACAACGACAACGGAGGCCTGGACAGTGAATTTGCGTGAAACTTCACCGTCAACCCCGCGTTCAAACCAACCACGTCTCATCGTCAACTGCGTCCTATGGGGCTTAGAACTTCAATACTTCCAAGGTTGTCTCCGATACCGCTCCTCCCAGTTCCACCCCCCAATACACCTTCGTCCTAACCAACCATTTTTGACCTACCCACCTTCTATTTTCCATCCCCACCAATCATCCTACACCTCCACAATCATGCGTCCTCGGAGAAGAGGGAAGCGAGTCTCGTTGGACCGCCTGTCGTCGGTAACGTTCGATGACATGGCGAGCGTCGACAGCAAGGAACTAGCGACCCAGACATTCTTCGGCAAGAAGCAACACGCACTTGCAATTGGCCCATCCCAGAACCCTTCTCACACATCCTCAGTGACATGGAAGAGCCAGGCAGTCAAAGACAAGGAGGAGTATGAACGTGTCAAACAGCGCGTGCGCCACTTTGTCCCCGAACATTTTAAGGCCAACGCGAAACCCAGTGGACGGCCGTCGGAGATCTTCCCACAGACTGTTGCCGAGTGGCTGACCCACAAGAAGGAGATACTTGCATTGGCCGAGGCTGAGCAAAAGAGAAACTGTGAAATGCTCAAGGCTCAAATCAAAGCTCGCCCAAAGATCGAAAAGTCCCAGCGTAAGATCAAATCCGTCTTTGGCGAGCATGGCAAGATTTTCAGCGACGGACTCAGCCCCGTGCTAGGTTTCCCTACCATTTGGTCGGCTGAATACTTGGGACAAGTGGCCAGGTGGCCAAGCAATGGGGAAATGCAGTGGAACGGCGACGACAGGCAAAGCATGCTCGCAAAGACAAAGTGTGGTCGCTTTCTGCCTCCCCCTCGCGCTCCTGTCGAGCCTTCAGGCCCATTCCGAGAGCCGGTCTTCTTGAGGCAGTTGCCATTTGACGAAGCTGGCCCTATCTTCTGCATGGGTCCTCGACCTGACGAGATCTATGTCAGCAATGCCGACATGGATCGAGATCCGCAGTTCGAGGCCCTCGGCAACTTGTTTTTGGGAGCCGAGTTGATGCGAGAAGTTGGTGAGTGGAAGTCCCCTCTTGTTCCAGAATGGCAGTTGGCAACGACAGAAGGAGCCATGGTGTTCTATGAGGGAGACGGGTTTGTCGGAACTCCAGCTATTGGCAGTGAGATGTGGTACGACGAAAGCATGCAGGCTGAGATGTGGCAGGAATACCCCGTGTGGTGGCGAACGGCATTGGATTGACTGAGCACTTTGGAGGTGGACTTAGGATAGTTGGCCCCGCAATGCACGGGGTGGTTGGTGATGTTGATGAATACTCTTTCTTTGACACGAGGGGCTTGGAATGGGTCATGACGACTACCACGACGACATGAATTGACGATTTTTGATTGTTTTGGATTCAAGCAGTGCAAGCAACGAGGTTGGATACAGGAGGTAGATGCTGCAGGTGGCATGGTTATGCCTACGATCTCAGGCTCTCGAGATGAGTGCAGCGTCCGTACAGCCGTTTGGAATCAACAGGGGAAGGAGGAATGAATGGATGCACCACAGCGCCACGGATTGATCCCCAGAGTAAGAGAGATAGCAATGCAAAACACATTGGAATCAGTATGTGCTGCGAAGATATGGAATATGCTGCGTAGGCCCCTCGGACCTCGGAGTGATACGCGTAATTAAGCGGGCGGCTGACATGGCTTGTCGTGTCAGTATCTCTCCAGCGTCCAGCCTTCTCGGTGGCTTCCCACCGAGCTCCCAACCCCAGACCTGAGACCCCCCCGTGCTGTATACTGTATTGGGTTTAGCTCTGTCAGTGCCAAGGACACAGCTGCGGAGCCTTAGTAGCTTACTCCCTCTGGCTCCCTCCAGCTCCCTCTTACAATTGACCTCGCAGGACCTCGGCAGGATCGCGGGTAACGCGGCCGTCACAGAACTCGACTCCATCTCACTCGCAGGATCGGCCTCATTGTACAAGTCGATATATCATGGCTTCTTCTCTTAGCTACCCTGTCGTCCAAGTACGATCTATTGCTCCAGCACCTCCTGTGAAATGGGCCGTGAGTCCATCTTCAGCCCTCCGACCCTCGTTTGTCCGTGCTTGCTACTGACCATGACCTCCAGTTCCCACCGTAGCAGCGGCCATTGCGGGTGGCCTGGCCACCGCTGCCTACCTCGATGCCAAATTCCTCATTCGCCATGACCTCAATTCAGGCTCGTTGGCCGCCGGCCAGAAGAGCGCCATGGCCTTCACCATGGAGAGGTACCAGCAGAA